ATAAAATTGGAGTTGCATTAACAATTCTTGCCTGCTCTTTCTCCATGTCCTCAATTCGTTCAACGTCATTGCGTTCAGCAGCTTGCCAGAATTCTTCTTTTGAAACTTATGTTTCTTCTGGGCCAGAGAAGTTTATCAATCGTTCGCCTGGTACTATAGTTTTGTCCCATTTCAACATTGAAGTGTACCAAACCATCCTCTGCGTACCACATTTCAAGTTCACTATTCCATTCGTTCATCATTTCGCTAACTTGAACTTGTAAAACAGGAGGCTCATTAGGAGTTCGAATTGCAGTGTTAGAACTAGGATCCATTCGTGAAGATAGTCTGGTGATGCGTTGAGTATCAGTCGATGAAGCAGATGAAGGCTGGGGTTGATTGATAGTAGAGGTAAAAGGTTGAGGATCGTTGGTTGATGCAGACGACTGTTGATCAGCAGAAGCTTGAGATTGATTAATATTTAACTCATCAAGTGAAGGCATACTTATCTTGAAGTTGATTGAGACACTATTTGTTAAAGAAAAAGATGGAAAAGAAGCAATCAAATGAAAAAAGATTGAAATTGAATAAATAGATCAAAGCCAATTCATTAACATGGGGAAAATGTTGAACCCATTTACTCACTCAAGAATTTGTGAAATAAAGCACGGATGTGAAATGCTTCATTATCATGCGAAGATTACATGGATATAGATGCCTATTTACATTGAAAAATGTTGGATTCGTCTAATCAGAGTATAATTTGTTGCGTTCCCAAAAGTTAAAATAAAAGTAAATTAAAAAGGAAAGGGAAAATTACAAATTATGTTTTTATTAAAACAAAAGTAAAAGTTAAATACTTCACCAGAGAGTTTACGTTGCCACTTCGGTCATAAGTACGTAACTGACCTTAGAAAAGAGAAAATTACTAAATATAGAAAGTAAAATGGAAGATAAATGGAAGATAAAGATGATGAACATCTGGCAGCTTAGACCGTTAGCTAAGGAGTAAAGGATTAGAATGTGGTTGTATGAAATGGGAGTATGCAAAAGTTGAGTGTAAACAAGTACAAAATGATCAAAATTCAAAGAAAACATTATCATAAATGAGTAAAGTACAGAAGTACATTAAATGTGGAATTTGGACCTCAACATAATTGATGGAGAAAAACAATGACGATAGACAATAACTAAAGTCACGTTTATCAATTTAAATAATAGTTAAAGTATCCTAGCTATAGTCATACACAACGAAAGAGTTCAAACATAACATAAAGAAGAATCAACATAAAGCTATAATTCAATCAGCTGCTACAATAAATTTAGTTAGTATTTCATCTAATTTTTGTTAACATTTAGGTAATTGAATTTCACTTACTCGTTAATGGTGTGAGATACTTCTCTTTAAAATTGATGATGGAGATTTTAACTTTTGTCTATTGGTAATGTCCAATCGAATCATCAAAATGAAATTTGGATAAAAATGAACGAGACGTTGGAATGAATCTTTATGATAGCACAGAACTTTTTAAAACAAAACGTTTATAACAGACGTTGCGAATAAACGAAACGTAGAAAACTTTAGCTGAAGCTTTAAAACAAAACTTTAAAAGGTACACTTTTTGAAATAAAACTTTTAAACAAACTTTATGAGGTAAACAATTGAAATAAACCTTGTTTTTAATAAGATTTGGTGAATGAAATTGACAAAGAAATCATTTATTATTCACCTTTTATAGTTATCTTAAAAGAAGATAATTATCATGATCATAATGACCTTATTTTCTTTACTATAATAATTTTAATGATCTTAGTACAAGGACGAATAAGGCTAATGATTGTATTAGATCATTAAAAACATTAATGATCATTAGTGTTAAATTGTCCTGAAAAAAGGTGGAGAAAAATAAGGTTAATAATGTGAGAAGGAGAGAGATAAAAAGAATTAGTTTGCGAGAAAGGGGTAAAGAAATTTGGAACGAAAGAGAAAGAGTAGAAAAAGAAAGGGTAAAAGGGGGGAAGGCACAAAGAGAAATTGTGCCAGAGTAGTATACTTTGCCCCTACTGATGATGATTGTTGATTACTCAACATTGTGTTGTAATCATCATCATCACCTTACCCTGACCCAACTGACCATTGGTCAAAGATAAGATGATGATGATGAAAAGACTCACTCTCAATTTTGTATATAAGCAGAGACAAAATGAAATTAAATTATGTTTACTTTGAGACAAAGAGGAGAGAAGAAGAGACTGCAGACCAAAGGGAAAGTATGTGTTGCATACAATAGGCACGAGAGTCACTACTATCGTCTTTCTCTTTCTTTTTCCCTTTCTTATTTCATCTTTTTTCTTCTTTCTTTTTCTCTCTTTCTGTTTCTTTTTTTAATAATTAATATTTTTAATTTTGATGGTTTTCTTTATTATTTTGAATAAATTTATTATTTTTAATTCGTCTTATTAATTTTTAAGGTTATGCAATTAACTATTTTTCAGAAAATTGATCAAATTAGATTTTACTTCATTAAAAAAACTATCACAATGAAATAACATTAAGATTAGCATGAATTTTGTATAGAAACCTTATACCCCGTCTCCAGTGTCACGATTATTAAAGACTTGTATTTCAAATCAACGATCACACGTTCAAGCCTTGATATGGACAATCCTGGACCCTCGCAACGAGCTAAACAGCGGCAGTTGGCTAATGAGAGGAAGCGGAAGGTATATGCTGAGTATGCAGCTATTGAATATCCGATTTTGTATTATCACGTTTAATAAATAGAACGAAACTGCATAATGTGAAATTATATGGATTTGGTTCGAGACTTGTAGTTGACAATTTTTTTTGATTTAATTTAAAAATTCTGTTAATTTCTTAACGAATATATCAAATTAATTGAAAAATTGAGTGGAAAAAATATAAAAATAGCAATTGAAACAAATTTTATTCAATAATTACTTTAATTATAAGTTCGAGAAAAGAAAGAGAAAAAGAAAGAGAAAAAGAAAAAGAAAGAAAGAGAAAAGAAAGAAGAAAAAAGATGAAAAAAGAAAGGGAAAAAGAAAGAGAAAAACGATTGTAGTGACTCTCGTGCCTATTGTATGCAACACACATTTTCCCTTCAATCCGCTCTCTCTTTCACTCTACTCTTTGCTAGATCTTCTCTTGTCTACATCTCGCTCTCTCCCTAACTTTGGTTTCTTAGCTTTTACTTTGTAAAAGCTGTTCAAAGTTTCCCTCTCCTCTCTCTCTTTCTCTCTCTTTCTCTCTCTTTCTCTCTCTTTCTCTCTCTTTCTCTCTCTTTCTCTCTCTTTCTCTCTCTCTCTCTCTCTCTCTCTCTTTCTCTCTCTCTCTCTCTTTCTCTCTCTTTCTCTCTCTTTCTCTCTCTATCTCTCTCTTTCTCTCTCTTTCTCTCTCTTTCTCTCTCTTTCTCTCTCTTTCTCTCTCTTTCTCTAAGGTACTCGAACCCCGATACCGTCACAATATTAATGATAATTTTATCTATTTATCAAAATAGCAACATGATGAAGTAAAAAATAGAACCACTTTCATTGAAAGATCAATTTTTCCGACAATCGGCTTAAACCTTTGCGACTAAATTTTTCATACACTTCGATCTTTTCCTTTGTGTATTCAGGGAATATTATGAACTGATTGTTTGTCATTTCGATTATTTAATTGATTATTTTCCCACCAGAGATAACCATAACTTTGCTAATCGAATACGTTCTTGCTTATGTTTCATTGTTAATGTTATTTTTTATTTTTTTTTATTTTCTTGTATTCTTCACCAGATCCACTTAGTGTTCGGTTAATTGTTCTACTTGAACATTCTAAATAGGGATTTTCTTTAAGTTTTCGAGCGCTGACATTATTATTAGCTCGAAGAATACGGAACTCTCTCTTTATTCTATAAGTATCTCACCGCTGTAATATTTTCGGCCTACCAACGGTATTTTTTTCTCGATTGTACTCATTGTTAACCATATAGTGGACAGAAGAAGCAGTAATTTATAAGTTTCTGGTGATTTCTCGATATCCCTGACCAAGTTCATGAAGTGATTTCACCTTCTCTATCATCTCTCTTGAATGCATATTAGAGGCTAGAAAGGGTAATAAAAATCACAAAAAATGACCAGAATTTAATTGTTGATCGAAAAATATTAATATTATTACCTTACCTAGTTCTAATTCTGAAGAAAACTGATCTGGTCGATGTGTACGAAAAATTTTGTCCCAAGCGATTTTCACAATTAGTCAACAATTATAAAAAGAAACGTGATTTTTGATCAATTATTGTTTACATTTGTCTCAAATTAATCAACTAAACCTACTGCCCTCTTTTAATCAATAATTAATCGGATCGCAATTTGACAAAAAAACAGTGTACGAAAAATTTTGTCACCCACTATAATGTTCCAAAATTGTACCCAAATTACAATTGATTTTTAATGACATGAATAAATGGCACTGTCAATCTTAGTGTCGGTAATGATAGAAATTATTGTTTTTCCATTTCTAACTAGTTAACAATTGATTGTCTTTTTAGAAATAATAATCTATTGTTCATCTATCAACAATCTTGTTCTTGCAACTGTCAGGGTGATGATTGGTACGAATGAATATTCGTCCATTAATTTATCCTGGAACGGATGAATCATCTGAACGAATTTAGTATTTTTAAGATTTGTTTATTAGAATTACTAATATGTGGTTATGATAAAACGATTATTTAGAATTATTCATCAGCCTAAAAGTTAAATTAAAAATAAAATCGATATAATATAAACCATGGAACTGGCTAATTGCTGATTAATCTGATGGAAAAATTAAATTGATTTGAATGTTTCAATTATTCTCATGAAACTTACCAATTACGTAACTTTTTTAAGTTCAATCACTTTTTTTAACTAAAATAACCAGAGATTTATGATGATTGACTTATATAAAAATCAATCTGATGCATAAGCAACTGGTGATTGATGGTGAAAGTTAATTCTAGGATCTTAACCAACCTTGAATAAGATTCAGATTGATTTCAAGGTTAAACTCAAATGAATTTTTTATTGAAATGGAAAAAATATAATCAAGTTTTTTGAAAGAGTTTCAGCTTTTTATATACTTATTTATTCATCGATACTTTTGTTTACCGAAAAGTTTTTTCAAAAGGATTGATCGAGTTGCTATTCCACTGTCATAACACATGGCTACAATTCGCGGTATTTTAATAGTTCCTGTGCTACTTTTACTCTGCCTGTTCCATGTACAGTCTTCATCATATTTCCAAAAATTAACGTGAGTGAAAATTTTATGCTCTTTTCTAGGTCATCTCATTTGAGTTACATATTCTAATTTCACTTTTTATTTCTCTGATTAAGGTGTAAACAAATTGAACGGTGCGATGAAAGTTTGACTAACTCGACATTTAGGTTTCTAAATAGTCCAAACCCGTTCGAGTTATTTCGTGAGAGTAAACTTAAGACAAAAAATGTGAGTAATAAATAAATTTATATATTAATACATCAATAAACTGTCAACAATTGAATTCAATCAACAAATTTCGTTTGCAATTTTACAAATGTAAAAGAAGGTAAAAAATGGCTCATGCGATTCGAGCCTCGATGGATCTTCTTGTCGTGATAAACGTAGCATTAAATCAAGTCAAATTTATTCTGATACTGTTACTGATGATAAATCTAATGTTCAGTGTGGTGGTGTCTTGAATTCGGCAAATGGAATTGTGACCTCACCGAATTATCCTAATCCATTCAATGTCTCTGGTGAATGTCTTTGGAAGATTAAAACATCAGATGGATCTCATTTGTTTGTTAATCTAATCGATTTGGAATTAGATGCTTCTCTTGATTGTACTCAAAATGTGTTAATCATTTACGATGGACCAACTGACCAAGACTCTCAACTATTAGTTGCTTGCAATCAGAAACAACTTGATAATAATTTGGTTACTTCAAGAGGCAACGAGTTGACAATCAAGTTAATAACAAATGGATCAACAAATAAGATCAAAGGTTTTAAATTTTCTTATGAAACTGATTGTAATAATTTCATTGAAGGTATAAGTGGATCAATAGAGAGTCCAATCAACCAGAGCTCAAAGAGTCTTAATTGCTCTTGGACAATTAAAGTACCAAAAGGAAACAATATAAGTTTGGTTATTGAGAAGTTTAAATCATCTGATTCATCTTCATGTTCAACAAGTTACTTATCATTCATCAGTAACCAGACAACTAAAACCTTCTGTCAATCAGTTGATTACACAGATTTCGATCCAATTTTAATCACTGAAAATCAAGTACAGGTTATCTTTGTTAATCTTTATCCAGATAATCAATCATATTTCCGATTAGAGTGGAAACTAGTTGGATGTGGAGGTGACATTCATGAAAGTGAAGGTGAATTGGTTTCTCCAAATTATCCTGACTCTTATCCAAATGGACTTAATTGTCTGTGGACTATTCATGGTAAACCAAGTGATATCATTAAAATCTTCATAAATGAATATCATATTGAGGAAGGTGACTCATTGCAGATATTTGATGGACCGAGCACAAGGTCACATCGTCTTGTGAACTTTTCTGGTCGTCTCAAGAAACGTTTGAGACTTAAGACAACCAGAAATCACGCAACGATCTCTTTTAATGTTGATAATTATTATGGTGGAAAAGGATTCAAATTTTTGTTCAGATCCGAGAATGATGATGAACATCCATTCGATGGTAGCTTTCATTTGGTCACTGGCTCAATAGCCTCTCCTGGTTATCCAAATCGATATGAAAACCCGATCACACATGAATGGATTCTTAATGATGATATGGGATACACTGAGGTTACAATCAAAGATCTGGACATTCCCTGGTCAGAAGATTGTACTGACCATTATCTTTCCTTTACTGCTAGAGGGGATGAACTCACCAGACTTTGTGGTAATGAATTCCCAACTACTCCAATCAAATCTAATTCCAGCAAAAGTATTGTCATTTATTACTTCTCATCGTATCGACATAATGGCCGAGGGTTTATGGTCACTTACCAAACGACTTGTGATTCTACGCGCACGATTTACAACCAACAATATGAGTTGAGCAATTTTAATAATCTGCCAATTGGTGGTGGCCAAGCTTCGTGTCAATATCACTTAAACTCATACAAAAAGTTCAATCAAACCCTATTGACTTTTGTTGATTTCGCGATCAAACAAAATTCTGATAGTTACATTGATCTACTAGATGGAGAGTCAAATGAGCCGACAGCCATTACTCGATACAATAGCTCTTCTCATCTTCCAACAGCTCAGATTTTTGGTAAATCATTTCATTTTCACATTAAGGGTCAAGTTCTGTTCACAGTTTTGTACTCACAGTATTTTGATTCATGTAAATATGAACTGAATAGTTGGGAAGGAACATTTAATTCACCAGGATATCCGAATGATTATCCTCCTTCTCAAACTTGTGTTTGGAAAATTAATCTTGCTCAAGGTAATTTAATCTCTTTGAAGTTTCATTCGTTTGATGTTCAATATGATCAATTCTGTGCTTTGGATCATTTGGAGATTCGAGAAGAAAATGAATCAGGTAAGCTCATTGGCCGATTTTGTGGATCAAATTTACCACAATTAAACTCGACTCAATATTATCCAAGTCTATGGATTAGATTTAAATCTCATGCTAATGGTTCAGCTTCTGGATTCAAAGCTTCATACAAAACAATCAAAGATGTGAAAATCAACTCTGATTCTGGTAAAATCGGATCGTTTGCTTATCCAAGAATATTTTCATCGGAAAACAATCAAAGTTGGACAATTAAGACAAGTAACTCGAATAAGATTAAGTTTAAATTGGAATCAATTGATATTCTTGATGATTCGTTTGACAGCTCATGTAGCAATTCTAGTATCACAATTTATGATGGTCCATCAGTGAACAGCTCGATTCTCGGTCAGTTTTGTGGTTATCGTGCTGGTTACCTTCCAATTTATACAACTTCTTCAATCGCTTATGTCCATTTCAAGCCAAACTTTTACATTTCTAGATTCTTGTTGAGTTGGACATCGGTCAGTAAGAATATTCCATTTCCGCTTATTGATGATCCTAATCATCTGTGTAAATATACTGCGAATCTTAAACTTAATCAAAACTTGACTTTACTCTCAAGTTCTTATCCGAATGATTTGAGTTGTAGTTGGACCATTTCAAATCCTATGGGGACTCAGTTACAAGTTGAAATTAATGAGATGGATATTAAGTTACACTCAGATGAAAAATGTCACAAAAATAGAGTCTCTTTTTACGATTACAGTTTTGACCATGAAAAAGATTGGAAAATCAATAGAATAGTCTGCGATTCAAAAGAAAAACTATTCACTCTCCAAGGTAATCAATCGTTGATCTCGTTCTTCAACTATGGCGGCTTATCAACCGAACTAAAAGGGTTCAATATAACAGTGAGACCGATTTGTGGTGGCACATTTTATGGACCAACAGGTAATATCGATTCGTCTTTACTTGGACCATTCGAAACTTGCTCATGGAAAATCGTTGTACTAAAAGGTCAACGAGTCGAAATTAAATTTAAATCTTTTAACTTGGGTTCGTCTGATAATCATTGTTCCAATGGTTATTTAAGTATTCATAATGGTGACTCGCCTGATTCACGATTACTTGGACATTATTGTGGAGGTAATTTACCTACGAAAATAGTATCAGAGTCAAATAAACTATTTATATCAACTTATGTTCCTGTATCCGAACAATTTGTAAGTAACCTAAACTCTGAATAGCTCATTTCACGAATCTACTTTATCTTTCACAGGAATTTTCTTTATCATATCGACAAGTATCAGCTCCATGTGAGTTCACCGTGGAACTAAATGAATCAACTCCATCGGCCATAATTCAGCTTCCTGGATACCCATATCCACCTGACGAATATTCTGAGTGTGATTGGGTTATAAAAGCTCCAATCAACAGAGTTATAAGAATTGATTTCGAAATACCAGATCATGACATTAAATGTGATTTAAACTCTACTCACGTTGACATTTATGAAGGCTCTACTCAGCTCTCACCGAAAATTGGTCAATTCTGTCCAATAGCTCGAACAACAAGTGTCGTTACATCAGATAATCATATGTTCATTCACTTTCTTTCCAAAGGAGGGGCTGGTTCTAGTTCGTTCAAGGCAACAGTGAATCTTCATGTTTGCGGTGGTATTTTTGTTATACGTGAAAAGACAGCAGTCAAAAGTCCATCTTATCCCGAACCGTATGATGTTAATCTGACCTGTAATTATAAAATTTATCCTGGACAAATATCAAAAATGTTGACTTTTCAATTTCTTACACTTGATTTACCTTCAAATGAGAATTGCAGTTCAGGTGACTATTTAGAATTTCATAAATACGTTTTATCAAGATGGTTCGTAGCTAAAGAATGTGGAACGAAAAATTTGAAAGGAAAAGCTCATAGCTCGATCAACAAACTATTCATGAGATTCAAATCAGATTCAACTCTTACGGGTAAAGGCTTCAAGATTTGGTTCGACTACGAAAATGATAGTAAGTCAATTCGTAAGAAAAGATGTCGTACAAATGAATTATCACATTTGTAATTACATTAACATGAATACAATTATTTTCTCAACAGATATTTATAATGACTATATCTACGGAAATAAACCAGGAATGATTGAATCTCCGCGATTCCCAAAAATTTATCCTGTAGGTCGGAACTGTACCTACAAATTTACTGGGCCAATGCATAAACGAGTAACACTGAACTTTACTCGTTACAATCTCAAGTCAGGTGAAAACTGTGTGGGTAAAATTAGAATCGAGTTCTATCAAGATATACTACAAACACCGAATTCACAAAACTTACGAAAAATATCAACAAAAAATATCACAATTCCTTGTGAACTAAATTCCAACAATTATGTTATTCAATCACCAAGTAATAGATTAACTGTTTACTTTGAAACTTATTCTGGTCTGGAAGCTGGTCAAGGTTTCAGAGCAGAATATCATTTTGACCAACCAACAGGTAAAATTAACAATTGATAATCACCTAATATTATTCTCATTCTAACCAATCTGATCTCTTTTTATAATTAAGAATGTGGAGGCTCAATCGATCCGATTTCGAGATCAATCATTTCGACAAACTTTTCACAGCCTGTTGTCGGTAGTTCGAGGATCTCATGCTATTGGAACATCATTACTAGAGACCCAGAGAAAAACATCAGTACCAAAGATCGTGATCACTTTGGTCGAGGTGAGTACATATTAGACTGTCTAAATACCTTGTAAATTATATTTCCTTACATGTATACGATGTGTTGACCACTTCTTTTTTTGTCCCTTCATAAAAGTATATGGACCTTACACTCCTTGGATATCATTTGATCAGATTGAGGTCTTGGGATCCGCTGAAAACGATTCAATTTGTTCTGATGGCAGGATAACCCTTTCATTTCAAGAATGTTAGTAATTAACTTGTTAACCGAATTTCAAGAATAATTTAATGTATATTCTTTACAGCTTGGGATGGATCAGAATCTTATCACAGCATATTTAGCAGTCATAATAGGATATTATGTGGCCAGAGCTCGAAAAGAATCACTGTGATTTCTCCCGTTTCGATTATATTCTTTTACCATATCACAGCGAATTTTACTCGAACTCTAGGCTATCGTGGATTCAAAGCCCATTATCATACTAGCCAATGTGGTGGAACAATTAAATCATCTAACGGTACAATAACAACTCCTGGGTGGCCTCATGAGAATTATCCTATTGATACTGTTTGTGTTTGGACTATTCTTAACACTGATCGTAGAAAAACGGACAGACAAATTCAAATTGAGTTTAATGAGTTCGACTTAGAGTCCGACTGTTCAAAGGATTACTTAGAGATTTATGAAATCAATAATTTTGAAGTAACTTCGATTGGTAAATATTGTTCAAAGAAAAAGCCTCAGTTCGTTCAAACTTATCAAGATGGAATCTCAATTGTATTTAAAAGTGATGGTGATGAAACAAGTAAAGGATTCTCATTGAACTACAGAGTGACACAAAGTTCTTGTGGAGAGTATCAAAATTCACGTGCTAATAGATATCATGAATTTCAAGGTCCATATAAGACTAATCAAGATTGTGAATCATTATTAGAAGTTGAGCCGCCATATCGGCTTAATTTGACTTTTGTCAAGCGATTTGAAATCGAAGATTCAGTTAACTGTTCTAAAGATTATCTCGATATCAATGAATGGAGAAACAACTCTTGGCATCATTTCGGTCGATACTGTGGATACAATTCACCAGGGTCGATCATCTTCAAGGAAAATAAAGCCAAACTTATGTTCCATTCAGACGGAGATGATCGTCGGGGAGATGGATTCGATTACTATGTAACGAAATATTGTCGATTAACAATTGATAAAAGAGGAAATGGAACTATTAAAAGTCCTGATTATCTCGCTCTCTATAGTATTGGTTACTGTGAATGGACATTTAAAGGAGAAGATCCTGATGATAAGATTTTTGTTCAGTTCAACGATTTCGATATAAGTGGAAGATCATGTGAGGAAGTTTACATGGAAGTAATAAAAGATAATAGAGTAACAGGAGAAAATCGTATTGAAAGATATTGTCGAGATAATCCACCGAAAAGCATTGAAGCTCATGGAAATTTGAGAATAATTTCAAATGCATTCAAAGACAGTTACTCAAGGGGATTCACTTTCGATTATCAAATTGTCAATTAAAATAGCAAAAAATATGAATAAAAATGAAAACATTATATTCTAAAAACTTAAAAATTCTGATTTTTGTCATTCGATAAATTTGGTAACATGAATATTTAACGAAAATTTGATTACTCGATACTATCTTGAAATCATCTCATTTCCGAAATTGTTCAAATCAAAGTAAATTGAAGTAAACAAGTTATTCGTGTGCCATCAAAGTTTTTTAATCAATACAAAAATCTCCTTGACAGGTTTCAACGAAACTCAGAAGTTACGTAACTTTTTAAGTTCAATCACTTTTTTCAATTCAAAGCAATAAAGATTTTAATGGTTAAAAACTGACGGGTTGATGATTAAAATAATTCTAGGATCTTGACTACGCTTGAGTTTAATTTCAAGGTTAACAATTAGTAAATTAAAATGAACTTTTTATTAGAAACTTGAAAAAATAATCAAGTTTTATGAGAGAGTTTTAAGCTCATGTTTTTTTTTGGAAAACTTTCTTGGAAGAGTTTATCAAGTTGCTATTCCAAATCAATAAGATTAGATTAAAATGCGATTTATTCAAGTTCCTGTGCTGCTTTTGCTTTGCCTGTTCCATGTACAGTCTTCATCATATTTGAAAAAATTAACGTGAGTGAAAATTTTATGCTTTTTTCTAGGTCGTCTCAGTCATATTCTAATTTCACTTTTCATTTTTCTGATTAAGGTGTAAACAAATTGAAAGATGCGATGAAACTTTGACTAACTCGACATTTAGGTTTCTGAATAGTCCGAACCCATTCGAGTTTTTTCGTGAGATATCGAAACTTAAGACAAAAAATGTGAGTACTATTTTCTAAATTAAGTTCAATTTGTTAAATTAAATATTCTTTAAATAGACTAAGAGTTATAAAAATGATTTATACTCATGTGATTCCAGTCTCGATGGATCTTCTTGTCGCGATGAACGTAAAATCAAATCGAGTCGAGTTTATTCTGATACTGTTGCTGATGATAAACGGAGTGTCCAATGTGGTGGAGTTTTGAATTCACCAAACGGACTTGTGACCTCGCCGAATTATCCTAATCCCCCAAATGTCTCTGGTGAATGTCTTTGGAAGATCAAAACATCAGATGGATCTCGTTTGGTTGTTAATTTAATTGATTTGGAATTAGATTCTTCTCTTAATTGCTCTCAAAATGTGTTAATCATTTACGATGGACCAACTGATCAAGACTCTCAACTATTAGTTGCTTGTAATCAGAAACAACTTGATAATAGTTTGATTACTTCAAGAGGCAACGAGTTGACAATCAAGTTGATCACAAATGGATCAACAGATTATGTCAAAGGTTTTAAATTTTCTTATGAAACTGATTGTAATAATTTCATTGAAGGTATCAGTGGATCAATAGAGAGTCCAGTCTACCAGAGCTCAAAGAGTCTTAATTGCTCTTGGAAAATTAAAGTACCAAAAGGAAACAATATAAGTTTGGTCATTGAGAAGTTTAAATCATCTGATTCATCTTCATGTTCAACAAGTTACTTATCATTCATCAGTAATCAGAAAACTAAAACATTTTGTCAAACAGTTGATGTCACAGATTTGGATCCAGTTTTTATCTCTGATAATCAAGTACAAATTGACTTTGTTAATCTTTATCCAGATAATCAATTCTATTTCCGATTAGAGTGGAAACCAGTTGGATGTGGAGGTGAAATTATTGAAAGTGAAGGTGAATTGGTTTCTCCAAATTATCCAGATTCTTATCCAAATGGACTCAATTGTCTCTGGACTATTCATGGTAAACCAGGTCACAAGATCGAAATGTACATTTACGAATATCATATCGAGAGAAATGACTCTTTACAAATATTCGACGGACCGAATACAAGGTCACATCGCCTTTTGAACCTTTCAGGTCGCCTTTATAAGCAACTAGAAGTTCTAACGACCAGAAATGAAGCAACAATATTTCTGGAAGTCGATGAAAATTTCAATGGAAAAGGATTCAGATTGTACTATAAAGTCGTAAGAAGTAATCGATGTGAAAGTAGCTATCGTACAATCAAAGGCTCGATTGCTTCACCCAGTTATCCGAACCGTTTTGTTGGACCAAACTCATGCCAATGGTCACTTGTTAATTATGAAACTTATTTTTCTATCATAATTGAAGATCTGGATATTCCTTGGTCAACCAACTGTACTGATTATTATTTAAGATTTTTGACTCCTCAGAAAGAGGAACTTGCTCGATTTTGTGGTAACTCTTTTCCAACTTATCCAATCAGATTCAATTCTAGTAAAACCATTTTGATCGACTACTATTCTAAGAGTTATCATCATGGACGAGGGTTTCAGTTGAATTATCTCATGGATTGTTTATTGTCGAGCTACATAACGTCAACCACATTTACGAACTTAGATTATCCAACGATAAAAAGTGACAGCTCTTCGTGTTTCTATCATTACAACATTTTCGAACCTCATCGATCGTCTGGTTTGACATTTTACTTTGACTTTGTTGATCTCGCAATTAAGTCCAATTCGGAAAGTTACCTGGAGATACAAGAAGAAACATCGAATGGCTCAACACACGTAGTTCGATACAATGACTCGGATCTCCCATTACCTCGTATTTATGGAGCACCATTTCATATTCAAACTAGAGGTGATGTTATCTTTAAGCTCGAGTATCTTAGGAATTTGAATAATTGTTCATTTGTCTTCAACAGTTGGGAAGGAACATTTAATTCACCAGGATATCCGAATGATTATCCTCCTTCTCGAACTTGTGTTTGGAAAATTAATCTTGCTCAAGGTAATTTAATCTCTTTGAAGTTTCATTCGTTTGATGTTAAATATGATCAATTCTGTGCTTTGGATCATTTGGAGATTCGTGAAGAAAATGAATCAGGTAAACTCATTGGACGATTTTGTGGATCAAATTTACCTCAATTGAAATCGACTCAATATTATCCAAGTTTATGGATTAGATTTAAATCTCATGCTAATGGTTCAGCTTCTGGATTCAAAGCTTCATACAAAACAATCAAAGATGTGAAAATTAACTCTGATTCTGGTAAAATTGGATCGTTCGCTTATCCAAGATTATTTTCATCGGAAAACAATCAAAGTTGGATAATTAAGACCAGTGACTCGAATAAGATTAAGTTTAAATTGGAAACAATTGATATTCTTGATGATTCGTTCAACGGCTCATGTAGCAATTCTAGTATCACAATTTATGATGGTCTATCAGTGAACAGCTCGATTCTCGGTCAGTTTTGTGGCTATCGTGCTGGTGAAAATCCAATTTACACAACTTCGTCAGTTGCTTTTGTCCATTTCAAGCCAAACTTTTACATTTCTAGATTCTTGTTGAGTTGGACATCGGTCAGTAAGAATATTCCATTTCCGCTTATTGATGATCCTAATCATCTGTGTAAATACACTGCGAGTCTTAAACTTAATCAAAACTTGACTCTACTTTCAAGTTCTTATCCGAATGATACGAATTGTAGTTGGACCATTTCGAGTCCTATGGGGACTCAGTTACAAGTCGAAATTAATGAGATGGATATTAAGTTACACTCAGATGAAAAATGTACCAAGAATAGAGTCTCTTTTTACGATTACAGTTTTGACCATGAAAAAGCTTGGAAAATAAATAGAATAGTCTGCGATTCAAAAGAAAAACTATTCACTCTTCATGGTAATCAATCGATGATCTCATTCTTCAACTACGGTGACTTATCAACCAATCTAAAAGGGTTCAACATAACAGTGAGACCGATTTGTGGTGGTACATTTTATGGACCAACGGGTAATATCGATTCGTCTTTACTTGGACCATTCGAAACTTGTTCATGGAAAATCGTTGTACCAAAAGGTCAACGAGTCGAACTTAAATTTAAATCTTTTAACTTGGGTTCGTATGATGACCATTGTTCTAATGGTTATTTAAGTATTCGCAATGATGACTCGCCTAACTCTCGATTCATTGGACACTATTGTGGGTCTAATTTACCTAAAAAAATAATATCCGATTCGAATCAATTTTTTATATCAACTTATGTTCCTGCATCCGAACAATTTGTAAGTAACCTAAACTCTGAATAGTTCATTTCACGAATCTGCTTTATCTTTCACAGGAATTTTCTTTATCATATCGACAAGTATCAGCTCCATGTGAGTTCACCGTGGAACTAAATGAATCAAATCCATCGGCCATAATTCAGCTTCCTGGATACCCTAATCCACCTGATGAATATTCTGAGTGTGATTGGGTTATAAAAGCTCCAATCAACAGATTTATAAGAATTGACTTTGATATACCAGATCACGATAAAATGTGTGATTTGAATACAACTTACGTTGACATTCATGACGGTCCATCGAATTTGCTACCTAAACTTGGTCGATTCTGTCCAATAGCTCGAACAACAAGTGTCGTTACATCAGATAATCGTATGTTCATTCATTTTGTTACCAAAGAAGGGGCTGGTTCGAGTTCATTTAAGGCAACAGTAAATCTTCATGTTTGTGGTGGTAATTTCGTCATAACTGAGTACACCCAAATCAAAAGCCCTTTTTATCCCGAACCTTATGATTTTAATTTGACTTGTTATTATAACATTTACTCAGACAAAATATCGCAACTGTTGACTTATGAATTTGAATCATTTGATTTACCTTCAAACGACAATTGCACTGTTGGTGACTATCTAGCGATTCATGAATATAACCAATCAGGTAACCTTCTTGCCAAAGTTTGTGGAACAAAAAAACCTGCAAGTAGTAGTGAAAGTACACAAGATAGCGCAGTCATTCACCCCATGTGACAAACATTTTAGACATTTTAATTAGATCAATTATTGACAAATCTATGAATAATTATTGATTATTGATTTCCAAATAAAACTATTTATATCTGAATTTGACCTACTAACCGAGTGAGCAATTAGTATAAAAAGAGTGGTCAAACTTCGATCAACATTCAGTTTCAAAATGGAATCTTGTAAAGCTTGTGGTTTTGGTGCTAAAGCTGATTTCGAGCAATATACCATCGATTATTATGAAAGTATTGGTTATCAAACATGTTACTCTGAAAAGTATAGGACTCCACAGAAACGAATGGAATCATATGTCAATTGGCCTAAACCAGAATTGGATATAAAAAAGTTGGTAGATGCTGGATTTTTCTACAGGGGTGTAAGAGATTTAGTATCTTGTTTCCATTGTGGCCTCAACGTACATGAATGGCAGCCAGATGACGATCCATTAATCGAGCACTTGAAGTATAACTCCAAATGTGACTATCTATACGTAAAATGTGGGACAATGTTCTTGGCTAAGACGTGCTATGATCTTAAAGGAGAGTTACCATTAGCTGAACTATCAAGAACCGAAATTGATCGATACAACTGTAAAGTTTGTAAAGAGATGGAAGTTGGATGTATCTTCTATCCATGTGAACATGCAGTAGCATGTACAAATTGTACTGTCAAGCTCTCGAAATGTCCGATATGTGATCGTCTAATCAGAAAAGTATTAAGGTTAGCTTTTACTGATTAATCTTTCATTTAACGAGGATGACTCTTTGTGAAAACATTACAGTTAATAATGTTGTCATGTCATTTACTTTGAACTCTAATCTTTCTCGAAGTATAATAAAAATGTATTACCCATCAATAAGGTACCCCAGGCGATTCTCCGGGGGAATATTAAAGTATGTTGATGGGTGTTTATTAATTTTTGACTCCGGTAAAATTATTGTAACTGGAATTAAAAACTGTGTAATCTCTTTCAATTTAATAAATCGTTTTTGTATCAATTATCCATCAAAAATTGATTACATTAATTTCAAAGTTGTCAACATCGTGGCTCATTCAAGGTTATCCGATAATTTTGATTATTCAATACTCAAAAGGTTTCCAAAGTACTCATACGAGCCAGAGTTATTTCCAGGAACACATATAAAAGTGGACGATACCAAGGTTATTTTTATCGTTTTTAAAACAGGAAGGATAACAGTAACCGGTATCAAAGATTATAATGATGTTTCAAAATATTTTGAAAAGTTTAAATCTTTAGCAGAATCAATATAAAGAGAGACAGGGCTATAAATAACCTAGTTATTCAAAAACCATGGATACAAACGAAACCTACAGAATTTGGTGTAAAAAAGTTCTTTTCACTGTACAATTAGTTGTATTGATATCAATGTTGATAACAGCTATTGTTAACATTGTCTTAAAAACTGGAAATCTACCGTTATGGACAGCTTTACTTGGATCTTCACTTGGTTATCTTCTTCCAACTCCAAGGTTTCGATCGGGCAAGAGTTCAGATAATGGTGCTACAAGCTCAGCTCCTTCCTCAATTGTATCATGAGAATTTAATATAAAAAATAAACTAAACTTGAAAATCATCATCATGTCTTATTCAATTTATTTAAAACACCCTTTCACAATGTACATATCAGGGCCAACTGGCTCTGGTAAAACTTATTTTGTACGTAATATGATAAATGCAGCTGGTAAAATATGTGATCCAGCACCAAAGAAAATAACATATTTCTATGGTGAATATCAGAAAATGTTTAATTCTATGCCTAATGTAAAGTTTATAGAGGGACTATCAGAAGAACATCTATCTAATGCAGGAGGGGATGAACCTGAATGGATAGTGATAGATGACTTAATGTTAGAAGCCAGTAACCAAACATTGATAAGTAATTTATTTACAAGAGGTTCACACCATAGAAATATCTCTGTAATACTCATAACCCAAAACTTTTTTGTTAGAGGAAAGGAAAGTCGGAACATAAGCTTAAATAGTCAGTATGTTGTTTGTTACAAGAATCCAAGAGATAAATCTATGATAACAAACATTGCTAGGCAAATGTTTCCATCAAAGATTAAAAAATTCCAAAACATTTTTGAAAACGCTACAATTAAACCTTATTCATACTTATTCATTGATCTGAAACCTGACACAGATGATAAAGTAAGATTAATCACCAATATTTTCAATGAGAATGATGATCCAATGATAGCTTATTCTCTTTGAATTTATATAAAAGAAATTATCAATTATCAATCAATCAATATGTCTATCGAAGGCGTTAAAAAGTGTCTTCCTACATTAAGAAAACTTGCTAACGCAAAGACAAAGAAAGAGAGAAACATCATATTAAAAAAGGCAAAGTCGTGTATCTATTATTCAATATCAGAGATAAGTAAAAATACATTAAACGGGAATATTCCAATAGATCAACAACAGAAGATAAAGATTTTACCCTACAAAAAACAATTGAGAAGACTTTCCAAGAAATCTGGTGTTCCTTTGAAAGAGAGAAAAGAAATTATTATTCAATCAGGAGGAGCTTTTCTTCCTGCTTTACTTTGGCCAGCACTATCTTATCTCGGAGGTAAACTGGCAGATAGATACATGTAATGAATGTACTTAATAAAATGGTTTTGATACCAGAGAAGGAATATCAAATTCTTAGAAACAATGAAATAAAAGTAGACCTCTCGGAACCAGCTGAACAAGAAAAACAATCAAGTATTGATAAAACTGTATTGAAAGATTATCAAGATTCATTATCCAAAGCAATTAAAAACTTTAAAAAGAATAAGGTCATAAGAAAGTCAATAAAAAAGGAAAAATCACAACCGGTTCCTTCAACTAACATTAAATGGAGCGATATCAAAATCTTTTGAAAAGTGTTTACTATGATATCAAGAGTAAAGGAAGTTTTGGTGGAGCTGATAGATTGTTCAATGTTGCTAAACAAACCGATTCAAGTATACAACTTCAAGATGTAAAGGAGTGGTTGAAAGGTCAAGATACATACACTAATTTTCGAGCCAAGAAACAAAGGTTTTTACGATTACCTATCTTGGTTGATAGAGTCGATGAGCAATGGCAAGCTGATTTAATGGACATGTCTTATTGGAGTTCGGAGAATGATGGTAAAAGATACATTCTTGTAGTTATCGATGTCCTTAGTAGATACGCTTGGACAGAACCTGTGGTCAATAAATCAGCCAATTCAATTATAACAGCATTCAATAAAATTTTTTCCAAAGGAAGAAAACCTGAGAAATTACAGACAGATCAAGGAAAAGAATTTAAAAACAAATTTTTGACCCAGTTCTGTTTAACAAATGGAGTCCATTACTTTACAACGACTGACAATTCAGTTAAGTGTGCTATTGTTGAAAGATTGATTAGGACTTTACGTTCACGAATATATCGTTATATTTATTGGAAGCATACACAGCGATATATTGATGACTTACAGTTGATTGTTGATAATTACAACGATTCATATCATAGAACAATAAAAACATCGCCTAGCTCTGTCAACACAGAAAATCAACAATCGATTGTCACAACTATCCAATCATCATTGAAATCAGATAAGAACAGAAAAAGAGGTTTCAGTGTAAACGATATAGTTAAAATTCCTCTAAATGAGACATCTGATAAAGGAACAACACAACGATGGACAGATGAAGTATTTAAAGTGAAATCTGTTAAAGAAACACCTACCAAGTTCGTATATAAACTTGAAGATCTAGCTGGAGAGAAAATATCATCAATTTTCTATCCAGAAGAGCTTCAAAAAGTTTCATTTGACCCTAATGCAAGATTTAGAGTATCAAAGGTCTTGAAAAAAGATTACGATAGAGAAAAAAGATTATATAAGTACTTTGTGAGATGGGAAGGATGGCCAAAGAAATTCGATAGTTGGGTCTGGGATCTGGACAATTTATCTGAAAAGAAATGACAGAACAATCATCATTCACAATTGACTTAGTTTCAAATGGGTCAATGGACATATATCCCAACAACACAATTTCTTCTTTTCAAAACCGAATTGACCCTCCTTTAGAGTTATCTGGTGATTGGGAAGTTGCATTAACCGAAATTTATTTTCCTCTCAAGTTCTCTGGAGAAGCTGAAATAAAATATAAAATAAAATCCAAATACTTTTACAAGCAGACTACAGGACGTCAAATCCTATTCCAGGATGCTGAATGGGTTGATGCTTCTCCTGAACAAACGATTCGTTTTTTTGTATCAGAGCCCCGTAAAAAAGTGTTTGAAAAGTTAAATCAGAGTTTTAAAGAAGCATTCAAACCTCCTTCCTTTGCCCCCCGAAATGATGTCATAAATCAGAATCTTGAAATAAGTGAAAATCAATTGAGCTTGGGGATGATTTTTGACAATGAATCATCAACACATATAATTGAAAAAGTGCTCCCAGAACACAAAGACACAGTTTTACTTGACACTTGGCTTGATGGTAATTATACGAAAGCAAAGCAGTTTGCTTTTGGTAAAGCTCCATATCAGTGGGTTTACAGCGGTCTAATTTATGCTCCATTTTTCACTACAGAGGTGAAAAAATATTTAGGAATGAATCATGTCCAAGATTCAGACCTCAACTTTCATAAATCGAGGATTTTTCTTAATCCTACAGAAAAATTTAACCTTGAAGCCAAGAAAAATGACGCGATATTTCTAATGTATCTATATACTGATATTATCCAAGATCATATAGTAGGTGGGACTCAATCACCTGTGTTACGTGCTTTACCATTAACAAGTGGTATCTACAAAGATACTGGATATTGTACGTTCTCTCATCGAATATATTACCCTGTTCGAAAAAACCACATTGGTGAAATATCAGTGCTTGCTACTCATGACTCTGGAGAGCAGGTATACTTTGAATCTGGTGGAAGAATGTTTTTAAGTTTAGATTTTAGAAAGAAGACAAAAGTTGTATAAAGAAGAAATATCAACTATTTGTCATCTAAACATGTACCGTAAATCATATTGTCCTAAAGATAGTGATTTTAATCACTACTACACAAATCAAAGTGGTTCAGGGTTCAATGACATAAGAATTGTACGTGCTCCTAGATATCAAAGAGGTTATGGATTTGGAAGTTTTTTCTCAAGACTAGCCATGCCAATTTTGAAATACATTGGAAAAGAAGCCTTAGATAAAGGTGTTACTCTTGGTAAGCGTGTTGTACAAGATCCACAGATTCAGAAAGCTTTCAAAGACAGTGTTTCTGATTTGGCCACAAAAGGTTTAGAAAAGATAAAAACAAAGTCACAAACCGGTAGTGGAAACAAAAGATTATATAAAAGAAAGAAAACTGTCACAAAAGTAACTTTACGAAAAGTGAAGAAACGCTCACCCAAGAGCGTAATCAAAAAGAGAAAGACAACTAAACGAGACATTTTCAATAATTAAGATGGAATTTATTCACAACTCCTCGACACCAGCAACAATAGCTGAACTAGATTTATTTAGTGTTCCTCCAACACAAACGGTCATCGAGACAATGTATGATGTAGAGTATCGTCCAGTTGGTCATTAGACAATTCAAAATATTTGAATTTGTAGTTCCCTTCTGAACACTATACTGATCTTTCAGCTACATATTTACATGCTAAATTAAAATTGAATACAAAGATCCAATAAAAGATGGTGACAAAATTGTTCCTGTTAATAACTACGCTACTTCATTGTTTGAACAATGTGATGTTTATCTTGGTAGTGTCAATTTAAATCCAGGTAATAGTTTATTTCATTATCAATCACATCTCGATGACTTGTTCTTCAAACATGAGTCACCAATTGATGCTTGTCAGCTGATTGATGACGATGAAAATGTAAGAGTTGAGCGTGTTAAAAAGGACTTTGATTTGATTCTTCCGATACATGCCCCAATGTTTCAACAAGAAAAATTTTTGATCGATGGTGTACCGATAACATTAAGATTTAAATTGGCACCAGATACATTTGGATTGACCTGTTCCACTCAAGGACCAATCAATTTGAAATTTCAACAGCTTTCACTTTTCGTAAGACGAGTGAAACTTTTTATGCCCGTTCAGATGACAATTGAAAAAAACTTGACCAACTCAATGGTAAAATACTATTTCCAGCGTAATGAGGTTAAATCATATCACCTTGTGAGTGGCTTCGCTGCCAATAGCATTGACAATGTGTATAATGGTCAACTACCCCGAAGGGTCATTATTGGATTTGTATCTGACAAGTCTTTCAACGGAGAGATACAAACTGATCCGTTCAAATTTGAACACGGAAATATTAAAGAGATTGCTTTTGTTGTTAATGGAATAAAGATACCAGCTTCTGCTTATAAACCGGATTTCAAGAATAGTATTTATGTTCGTGAATACTACAACATGTTCCGGTCAATGAACCAAGAGAATGGAATACCTAAAATTAATATCAAGTACAAAGACTATGCAAAGAACCACCCTTTGTTTGTTTTTGATTTAAGTGATGACGGTACTCTTACCAATGAATCTGGGACTCTATCATTGATTAAACGAGGTAGCGCTCGAATAGATATTCAATTTACTGACGCTTTAACCACAGGTCTACACATGATAGTTTTTGGTGTTCATGACAACGTACTACAAATCGATTCATCGCGGAATATAATTACAGACTATTGATGGCATTAACTACAATCGATATTGATTCGAGATTGAAAAAATACTCACAGTTCAAAGGTGTTTATCCTCTTGATAAATTACCTTTTGAAATATTAGCTAAACCTTTTGGTATGGTGATAAACCTTGATCCAAGTTGGAAAACTGGGTCCCATTGGACAGCTATCTATATTCCAGAGTATGGACCAGGTTTATATTTTGATTCATTTGGTAATAGACCATTGGATTTAATCACTTCCTTTTTGGAAAGAAATTGTAAATTCAATGGATTCAAATATAATCATTACATCTACCAAGGAGATTTATCAATAAAATGTGGATTGTATTGTATTCTTTTTCTAGAGTCTTGTTTTGAAAACAAGGATTTACCATTAATTAAATGTAATTCAGAAATTAATGAATTTATAATAAAAAATATTTATTAAAACAACTATTTGTGTACAATTTTATAATGTCCGTGAGCTAGTGTAGATACTCCATCGTCAAGTATAAATCTTTTATCATCCATTGGTGATAATGAAACTTTGTTTAGTCTTATAGAAGAAATTTGATGATTTTTAGATTGTAATCTATGATTAATATGATGATAAATGGCGTTTTCATAGAGACAATCTCTGTAGTTTTCTATTGAGATTTCATTTTTAATCACAGCCTTTTGTACTCCCTTGGCGGTAAGTTTTTTTCTGGTTCCATATTTGATAGCATAAAGTTTTGATTTCAGGGCAATAACTTCATCAATGGTTTCTCCATTCATCTCATCTTTAAGGTACCCTAGTTTTTTCTTATTTGAATTATCATGGAGAATATGTGATGTTGGATAATCAGAAAAGTCCATGATATAATCTAGTTCTTTTAAATCAGCTACAATATCTTGAGTTTGTATATGATATATGAAACTGTCAGTGTCGGTATATACAAGTGATAAGTTTTCACCATATTTCGGCCGGAAACAATCATAATGAAGTTTGTACATGTGTAACTTAGATAGTTCCAACACAGTGAACCCCAAGTAAATGGGTTTATCGAGCTTGACTTCAAACTTTCGTAATTTAACAATGGCTAAATCATTTTCTAAGATGAAAAACTGTTCAAACATTGGCTTACGAATTTGTTGAAGAGCTTGTTTACCATTCTGTATCACCTTGACTTTAGTATGTTTCCTCTTATCTTCTATACTTTTTCCATACAATGAGTTGACCATGAGTTTCCAAAAGTCTTTTTCAAAGGTAGTTGCCGCTTTTTGTCTGTTACTTGTACACATTTGAATATAAGGTGATAACCAAGCTGATTGATGAAAACTAATTATTCTATGGATTTTATTCAATTTTAATCCCTTGTCAAGATAGAAACGTAAATTTCGACCATGAACGACGTAATGATGTTTATCAAACAAATTTGGGATGAGCTTTTCAGTTTCAGTACGTTTTAATCCTTGACTTTCTATTTTAGCAACCAAATCCTTTTGATACTTACTCATCCATTCAATTTTAACTGATAATCTTTCAGGCGCTAAAGGATAGTCATTATGATAGTCATGTAATTCACTTGGATATAACAAGTCTACTTCTAAAATATAACCAGTATCACCATCCAAATTACCATTTCTTATCGTCTCAATTGTAGAATCAAACAAATCTGGTGACACCCAAGAAAAGTTCTTCATGGGAAGGACATCGTTCAGTGCAAATCCATACAAGTTGTTAACATCCAAATATGTGATGTATGATGAGGGTTTTGTTTCATCATAATTCTCAGAGTTTCGGTTGTTAGCAATGACGTGTCTCTTCATTGCACACGAGATACCACCTCTGATACCTTTTTCCATCATTAAAATCATATCAATATCAGTGAGAAGATCCAACTTATTTTTCGTTGACTTGAGAGCGGCGTCCCATGTTAAACCTGGTGTTGAAAAGTAATGACATGGGTCCAAGCCAAACTGATTAATACTTGTAGCTCTGAAATTTTGAAAGATACAAGTCAAAAGTAGCACATCAATTTTCAAATAAATATCATGAAATTCACCCAGTGTTTCACAACCAAAATGATTCCACATATCAATCAATCGATCATAAGATTGTTGATCGATTGATTTTTTCGTGAGATGAGTAGAAACATTCGATTGGTGGTAGCGCGCGCTCATTGAATCTATCCCAAGAGTCCATGTACTCATAAGGTAGAGATCCTTTTCCAAGTATGTGAGGTAGATCATCTTCTTTGAACATTTGTAACAAGTATGTTGATTTAGATTCAGTAGACAAGTTATTAGCCAATGTATCTAAACTTGAAAGGAGAAAAGCTAAACTATCTAGAAAGATAAAGTCATCCATAAAGAAAGCAATGTACTTTTCTGTATTTTGAGGGATGACGGCTATGTTCTGAACTAAATTTGATCTTAACCCACTGATTATAAGGTGAGCATCGTAACCTTTGAGATTATGAAAAATAATAGGTAGTTTATGTGGTAGTCTAAGTTTAAGATTACATGAGTTATGAGCTGGCCCTCGATATGATCCAGTTAAATGGCAATGATCTAAAACCTTATCATTAACTAAAGGCTCATTACATACATAACACTCTAAAGCTTGTTCAAATGCTTCACGTTCCTCATTGGAAAGTATTGCTGGTTTACTATTGCTTTCCAAGTGTTCTCTTAAGAACATCTGTAGCTCCAATAAAGTTTCAATAAGTTTTTCAGCAGCTTTTTCCCCTCGATAAAATTTCTTTGATAAAATTTGATTATTCCAATCAACTGCCACGAGTCCAAATGAACAAGCTTGGTGTTTTTGATATTCAAAGGTATTATTACCTAAAGTTTTATCTGATTTAACAACCAGGGCCTCAAAATCAGCGTAAACAACATAAGGATATGCTATTGTTTTATCTAAACGATAAAACTCACAAATCTTTGGTACTTTTCCTTGACCTGGTAGTAATATACGTTGAGCGGTGACATCTTTACAGTAGGTTTGATGGTTCGATAACAAATACTCTTGTCTGAATCCTGATAAACAATAAGGACAGTAAAACCTTTCCCAAGCCCTGTTGTTTCGTACAAAAGCATTGAAGTTGTTTATACAGTAATAATGGTCATTATATAAAAACAAGTTTACATGTTTACTCGAAGGGTTTTTATTGACCCTCAATGGAACAATCTTTCGATGTTTATCCATTGTCAGTGTATAAATGTTGATTGAAATCTTGTTTCTCCTTTCGAATTTATCGATTTGGGAGAACGGTGTAATCGGATCAATACCAGTAAAGTCGTAGAGACTAGTCAGGTTCCTATACTTTGATACTCTTTTTCTATCCTTAACCTGAGGATGTAAGGATATTAAAACAGCCCATTTAAAACAATGGGTTTGACAGTTTGGTGAAATTAAACTTTTCTTTTTCAAGAGCATTGGTGGTAATTTAACTGATGAACATCCACCACTATTTTCTTTCAATTTACATATTCTTATTTCGATTGTACTTATCGATTTAAGTACCCAGCCACTTCCTCTTTGAGTAAATTGATCAACAACTGAATCGAGATGTTGAGCCCAGGCTGACATCGTTTCATCGAACTGTGATATATGAGTAAATGGTCTCATTTGAGTCACTTTGTAAATCTCAGTTGTATCAATATCACCATCCATTTTTTGTTTAACAAATCTTAGTAAAACACAGACTTGTACTTTATGTGACCCTATTGTTTTTAGAATTGAATCTAATAAATTTTCAATATTTTGACGCTCATTTGTAAATAAACTTTCCAATGATGACCATTTTCCTGTTTTGACATAGATGGCAAAAACATTTTTGAAAGCTTTCTTGTGTAGGGTGTAGGTGAAATCACTGGTTAAAGTTGATAAATTTCTGTTGAAATTTTTGCAGAGTAGTAGATGGTCTACGAATAGACTATTTTTATTGAAAATTTTATCACATGTTGAACATTTAACAGACTTGAAACTACAATCTCTTCTATGTATAAGATAAGATTTATGTTTGGTAAAGCTTTCCTGACACTTGCTACACTTGAACATGTTATACTCTGAATTGTAAACAGATTTTGTATTCGATTTATATAAGGTTTTAATCATGTCAATAGGCGTATCTATATCCTGATACCATCATATTCTAAGCTATCTAATAGATATATTCTTAAAACAAGTAACAGAAGGAGTATAATAAGTACTAGAGTAATGAAATAAACAGCCATCATTCATGTAATTATTCTTCCTTTGTTTCTTTTTATAGTCACGAAATAAGTTAAATAGGTCATCATTTGAGCTCATGTTTTTTTTTATTAAAATTGAATTTTAACGGATACAAAGTAAATAGGATAAAATATAGTCAAAATGTTAGTAAATAATGATAAAGATAAAAAGATTAATAAATGAATCAAGTTTCAATTCACCCCCAGATGATTTCCCCCATTGCAGCAAAGACACTGTTTGGAATTGAATAAGCCGCAATCTTACTTATCTCAGAACCAGTAAGAGTAAGAACAGATTCTTTCACCTCAGTTTTGATTGAAAAATGCCAACATCCATCAACTCGAAGATGACCGGATACAGTTCGTCCTGGAGCTATAGTAAACTCAAACTTCCGTTGTTCACCTTCAGTAATACATACCAATCGATCCTTTAGCTTTTCATACTCTTCCAGACGTAAGAAGAGTCCAGATTTTGTAGGGATAAACATCTTCACACCATTGACCATCTTTTCTCGTTTCTTCCGTATATCAACAAATGTTGAATCGATTGATTTTGATTTGTTTACGGAGATCCAGATAAGAGGAGCGATTTCACAGGTCATGAGTTGTTGAAAATTGTCCTCGAAACGGGTCGATCTTGGTCTTTCAGCTGGCGGAGAATTTTGTTGAGTTGGAACATTATTGGAGTTGCTGGAATACATTTTGATGTTGTTTCACTGATGAATCAAAACTGAATGATGAAGTTCTCTTTTCTATCCTTCCTTTTATACAATTATCGACCTGAAGAGCCAAACCCACAATC